TTTTTTTAATCAGCCTCTCCCAGCCTGACGCCTCTGTCATGTCTGTTTCTGTCTAACCTGCTGTCTCTGCTGCTACGGACCTAAAGGAAACTTTGATTTTCTGCAGACACTCAGTATTGACTGTGCTAGATTCATCTCTAACTAAACATGCACTGGAAACAGACGCTGAGGAAGTGATGATGAATGTTTACACTGGTGCCCCAGTATTTTAAAAGTTAACTGTTGTACTGACGTTAGGATGAATCTCTTTGTGTGTAAATGCTGCCGTGTGTTAGACTTCCTCTGTGTAGCATCCATGTAAATAATGTACACATTATTTTTAGGCTCTTATACTAAGAGTCTGATTCCTTTTTGATTAAAAAATCTTTGTTATGGGATTCATGACAATATTAATAAAAAGAACAAATCCTTTTTTCATTAATATCGTGTTAATGTCTTTGTGTCTTTATATATATGTATATAGAAATCTTCAGTAGCCACTTTATTAGGAACACACAGTCCAATACAACACCTTCAAACTTTCCAGCTCAAAGTCAACTTACTTCTTCTGGAGCTTCCAACCGTATTACACTGTCTTCATCAGCTGATGAGGTAATGAAAATATGAATACTGTTTGGGTTTTTTTTTTTTTTTTTNAAAATTTAAAATTTTTTTGGGTTTTTTTTTTTTTTTTTTTTAGAGGCGTTAACTCACCTGAACTGTTTCCGTTCAGTCCATTAACATGAGCAGCCAGAACATAAACACACGTGTGTAGAACTGAACCGCTCTGACTGTGACTCAGTGAGAAACAGCTGAGTGAACATGAAACTCGACATCATCTTACGGCTGAGCTTTCGTCTTGGACTGAATGAAGTTTTGCCAGTGTACCTAATAAAGTGGTCACTGAGTGATAGTCCATATCTCACATCAGGCTGAATAGTTTCCGATCTTTTTTAGGTATTTTTTTTCTTTGGATTTCATATGAAAATCACTGAACGACCTTTAAACATCCAAATAATGCGGCACGATGAAGACAGAAGAATAAAGAATAAACCTTCGGTGGAAATGTTTAAACCAGTGAGAGTCAGAGCTGCAGCAGTTTGTGTTAAAATGTCATTTGTGGTGTGAGGTAAACAGCTGGATCACACAAGTCTGCACTGAATGAAAATGATAAAATGATAAAAAACAACAGAGTTCAGTGTCTTGCAAGAGTCAAACAGCTTCTCTGTTTCCACATAGAGATGAATGAAAGAAGCGAGGAGCTATAACAGCAGGAAACTTAAACTCATGCTTGTGAAGTGAATTACAACATGTTTCTCCACTGTTATTATTGTGGGTGTTATTGAATCTGAACACTCAGCTGGGTTACTGGTGTGACTGGGATTTTGGTAACTGGTGTCACCAGATGAGTTCTGGTGTTTCTCAGCTGTTGTTTCCAACATGACCTCATCATCCAAAGCAGATAGAGATAAAGAAAGGGCAGACCAGAGACCAGAAGGGACCAGAAAGAACCTTTCCCACCGTCACAGCGTCCTCTCAGGCCGAGGCGGCTCTCACTGAACCCCCGGACAAAGTGAGCCTGAGCGGGGGAGCAGGGGAGGATGTGATGGGTGAGGGTGAATGGGGGTGATGGTCTATAGAGCCCAGAATGATTTAAAGCTTGATTATTTACTTTCTTATCTTTACTCTCTTTTAAAATTCACTTTCCCTCTTCCCCTCCTCCACCTTTTCACTCCCTCCCTCCCCCTCCCCTCTCCACACAGAAAGCGGGTGGATGGCCCGCTCGTAATTGGCCGTTTCGGAGGCGCATTGTCCGCGGCTTTTCAGGCCGCAGGTGCATATAGTAAAGCCGGAGTCTCCGCTCCTCCCCCGGGCGTCTTTGTTCCCTCTCCCCGCTTCGCCCACTCCCCCGCCGGGCAGAAAATTAGGGCTGCTTTTGGGGGCTTCGTCCTCAGGCTTAACCCTTTCACCGACCGCCGCCTTTCTCATGGAAATGTGAGAGAACCCCGCACTGGCTAATCGGTCAGTGAGGGGAGGGGGAGGAGGGGGAGAAAAGATGCGGGCACCAGGATCAACAGGAGGAGGAGGGGGAGGAGGGGAACAGATGCAGAGAGGGGGGGGAAGGGGGGGTGAAAACCAGCAGCTCCTCCAACTTCTCCAGCAGCTCAGATCCGAGTGTGATGAACTTTCACAGTTTAGTTAATGAAGCCTTTAATTATCAAACCTGTGTTTGGAGACATTTATAGTCATGTTAATTATGGCAAAATCACAGGCTACCATTCCACCCCGAGAACCGAACCCCCCTCAGGAACTCCTCCAGCCCCTCAAGGATCCCAGGAACCTCATTAAGAACCTGTGGAACGCTCTCAAGGACTCCTGGAACCATATAGATATAGGAGGTTCTTTGTCAGGGGTTTACCACATTTCTCTGAATAAAAACACCAGGTTGTGCAGAGTTGATGTGACACTGCAGCTGAAGCACGATGACGTGGAGCTTTGCCCGTTAATTAAAGTTATAACACCGGCTTTAACTTCCCTCACTGTGTCTGAATACGGACGGAAGAGAAATGAACATTTGTTGCTGTAAGTAACCGGCGGAAGTGAGAGCGTATATGTGGGTTGTTTTGGCTGAGGTCCACGGGTAGATAGGGATGGGGTAGGGAGAGGGAGGGGTGTGGGTGGAGAAGGGGGTGGAGGGAGTGTCAATGGAGGGATTTTCTGGTCTAATACATCCCATCACTTAGCAACGAGCAGTGAGGCTTCAACAAGTGGTTGCCATGGATCCTCAGAGAGTGACTTAAAAGTCTCCACAAAGAGCTGCGGTCAGCCCTGTGTGTGTGTGTGTGCGTGCGTGTGTGTGTGTGTGTGTGTGTGTGTGTGTGTGTGTGTGAGAATCAGGTGGTGGTTACCAACAGGGTTTTTACTGTGGTGACATACAATCCAGACATAACCTCCATGTTTTAGCAGCGACTGCTGTGAATTCCAGCTCCTGTAAAGTTAAGGTCTTCAGCTCAGGCTGCCGTCGTCTCCGTCTTTACTGAAGAGGAGGAAACAGAGTGAAATCGCCTCAGAGAGACAGAGCTGAGCTCAGCAGCCTCGAAGGGAGTGATGGAAACACTGGATGTTAAAGTTCAGTACCTGCTGCATTCCTGCAGGAGCCCAGATACAACGACTGTCTGCAGAGAGCACGACAGACTACGTCCTGCTACACACACATTCACATGCACACAGACGTGCGCATACAAACACATGGAGACACAGAGGAGGGGTGTACATCACAAGTTCTCTCATTAGATGCTTGTGTAGAGCTGTACACACACACACACACACACACACACATATATCTGAGACTCTTCATTCTTACATGATCTTCCACAACCTTGTTCCCTCACCACTTCCTGACTTTATGGGCCCTCTATGAAAGCACAGGGATCCCACACCCTTCTGTTCCATCCTTTGTTTGCACCTTGTGAGTCTGTGTGTGTCATCATGGCAAAAATGTGGAGACGCCCGGTGTAGCAGGGACTACCACAGAGGTGACTTTCAAGCTCCATATTTTCCTCTTCTGTGTTTTATTTGAAGTGTTGATCCATAAGAAGATATATTTGTGGTTTTAAGAACCAAAAACCATCTAAATGTAGTTCTACATCTCCTCTCTCAGGCTTCTCTCTGGAGCTCTAGTAACAACAGGTCAGTGAGTCAATCAGAAGAGAGGAGGCTCTGAGTCTCTCTTCTGATTGGCTGACTGTTTTCTGAGTGATGCAATAAAAATATATCAGATTTCAGGTAAAACACTCAGAGAAACCAAATCCTGCAATGTTGGATAGGGGGGGTCCAGGTGGGGGGTGGGGGGGTTAATATAGAACCTAGACCTGATCTATAATCAAACAACACATGCACATCTACCTTTAGACTGTATGGCCCTGTAAATATTGTCACAGAACAGCTTGCTGCTGTTCAAACATGAGGGTAAATTATTTCGATGTCTTTATCAAACCAGTTCATCCTCTCTTGTAAAACTGAAGAACCTGTTTGAAAACACCTGATGAAGCAGGCGTCTCACCTTTGTGTTACCTCCGTGTGGTGAACCAAACCTTCACTGGCTCAGCACTGCCCCCACCCACTGTACCACTGGTACTGGATGGTCGTTGAGGGGCAACAATGAGTCCGCGCCTCGCTTTAAAACAAAGGATTTATAACTTGAAGTGTTGTTGAACATTACGCCAACTTACTGGAAATCAGTCAGACTAAGTGTCGTGGTCTTTACCCACAATGCCCTCAGGTTTAAAGGCTTTCCCCCGTCTTCCTTCTCTTTTTAAAACATGCACACCCTCATCTGCAGGTGAGCCACGGTGCTGTTTGTTAGCACGCAGGTGAATAGGTAGGTGGCTGCTGTCATGGCAGCGGTGCCACTTCA